GGATCTCGATAAATTGGAGAACTGGGCTCTAGACAACAAAATGAAATTCTACAAAGACAAATGTCAGGTGCTATAATGCACAAATACGGACTGGGGGATAACTGGCTTGGCAGCAAAAAGAACAGGAGCACTTGTGGCACCTTAGAGACTAACAAATTTATTAGAGCATAAGCTTTCGTGGGCTACAGCCCACTTCTTCGGATGCACTGCTGAGAAGGATCTGGGAGTTGTGGTGGATCACAACCTCAACATGAGTCAGTAATGCCACGTGGTTGCAAAAGAAGCAAATGCAATGTTAGGTTGCATTACCAGAGGCCTAGCATGCAAGTCACGGGAGGTGATAGTACCTCTCTGCTCAGTGCTGGCTAGGCCTCAGCTGGAGTACTGTGTCGAATTTTGGACACTGATGTATAGAAAGGATCAGAGGTGAAAGTGGGCTCCGGGGCCCCCAAACCAGTAAGTCTTTTATCTTACTTTCACCCCTGGACAGGACATAGAGAAACTGGAAAGGGTCCAGAGGTGAGTGATAAAGATGATCAAAGGGATGCAAGTCTCAGGAGCAAAGGCTGAAGGAACTGGGTATGTTTAGTTTGGAAACGAGGCGATTAGAGGGGACATGATAGCGATCTTTAAATACTCAAAAGGCTGCTATAAAAAGGATGGAGAAAAGTTGTGCTCTTTTGCCACAGAGGGCAGGGCAACAGGCAATGGATTCAAACTACAGCATAGAGATTTACATTAAATCTCAGGAAAACCTTCCTACTTGGAAGAACAGTAGGACAATGGAATGGCCTTGGGAGGTTGGGGAACCTCATTCACTGGAGGTTTTCAAAAGGAGGTTGGAGCCATCTGTCTTGGATGGTTGAGACATAACTAATCCTGCATTTTGACAGAGCATTAGACTAGATGACCTTTGTGGTCCCATCTAACCTGGTGGTTCTATAATTCTATGAATAAATGAGGGTTAGCTTATTGAGTGTATGTTCTTCAGTGAGACAGCACTGACTAATGCTATTTGTCTACCTCGGGAATCAGCGTTACAACTCTCCTCATGAATAATCTGTTTTATTCTTCCAGTGTAATGTCTCCTATCCTACAATAAGTTTGAAAGATGTGGTGTGAAAAGTATTAGGTATAGTCCAAGAACATATGAAGCATGTCCGCTAGATTTAGAAGACATTAAGGGATTTTGTTTGGGTTTTTTTGTAAATTATTACACTGTAGAAGTGATAGGAATTGTATAGCAGTAGAAGGAAAAAAAGAATGTTGAATGATATTAGCATCTAACCAGGGTATAACTCTGGAATGTTAAGAGAAATGTCTTTAAAAGGGGTGATCCCAATTCATAGTTGGGGCAAATACTAAAATACAGTCCATGAAATGACTCAAATGCTCCAACTAAAGGAAGCATTGACGAAATAGGTTATACACCACCGCCCTCTACTGGACTCCGATGGAAGTAGCAGAGAAACTGGGAGCTGAAAGCTGAGAGCAATTATGGCCAATAGAATCCGCAGGGTGGCAATTAACTTCAATTAACAGAGCATACAACCCTGAGGCCACTGCTCCACCCCCCACTCCACCCTGAGGAACCAACCCCACACCACCCCTTCCCCCAAAGTCCCACCTGTTAGGATATAGATATTCAGGCCTGTCTGTAAAGGCCTATACTTTAAGAATTTACATGTATTCTTATCACTTAGCTAGTTATAGAGGTATAAAAGAAAGAATTAAAATCACTGTCTGTCTGTGAAAGGGCCTTCTCGTACTGTGACATTCTGAGGCTCTGATCTTAGGCTAAGTAAGGCCTTCGGCTAAGCAGCAGAGGCAGCCATAAACTGGGAAGTGAACGGTCACATCCTCACCTTCCAAACTAGTCTCATGGAAACAAGGTGCTATTGGGCTGTTAGAATACAATCCTGTCCTGATATTCCTGTCACCTCCAGAGAAAGGGAAGAGCCTAGCCCTAGAAGATGTAAAAGGAAACTTAGTTTAATAGCATCCTGTCTGGCAAGAACTCACTTATCAATAGACACAGCTGGAACACCCTTAAGTCTGTATAGGTGTATTTGTGAAATCCTCGCTTCTGTATTGTTTTGTATGTTTATTTGCATGATCTCTGTCTGGCTCTGTGATTGTTTCTGTCTGCTGTATAATTAATTTTGTTGGGTGTAAACCAATTAAGGTGGTGGGATATAATTGGTTAAATAACCGTGTTACAATGTGTCGGAATTGGTTAGTTAAATTTCAGTAAAATGATTGGTTAAGGTATAGCTAAGCAGAACTCAAGTTTGACTGCAGACTATATAGTAAATCAGGAAGTGCGGGGGGAATGGGAACAGGAACTGGGGGTGGGGGAACTGGAATCATGTTTTGCTAAGCGGGGGGGAAATGGGAACAGGGAATGGAAACAGGTAGACAGGCAAGGCTCTGTGGTGTCAGAGGTGGGAAGGGGGACACTGAGGAAGGAAACTGGAATCATGCTTGCTGGAAGTTCACCCCAATAAACATTGAATTGTTTGCGGCTTTGGACTTCGGGTATTGTTGCTCTCTGTTCATGCGAGAAGGACCAGGGAAGTCAGAGGGTGAAGGAATAAGCCCCCTAACATCACCTTCGCTCCGCATCTTCCTGCCCCGGCTCCGACCCCTCCCCCGAGGCCTTGCCCTTGTTCTGCCTCTTCCCACCCCAACTCCACCTTCTCCTGTAGACCCCCGCCTGCCCGTCGCTCGCTGCTCTCCACCCTCCCACCCAGCCGCAAATCAGCTGTTTGGTGGTGTCACAGAATAGATATTTGGTGGCGCCCCTGATTAGCTCATCCTTTCCACCCCTGATTAGCTCATCAGGGGCGCCGCCAAACAGCTGATCGGCGGCAGCGCTGACCAACCGCGGTGGCTGGTGGGTGCTGAGCACCTATTATTTTTTTCCCATGAGTGCTTCAGCCCCACAACACCCATGAAGTCGGCACCTTTGACCCCAGAGCTTGCTGAACCCCTGTGGACAACATCTCCTCTTGTCCAGGTTGGGTCGGAAGGCCAAGAAGAGCAGCTGAATCCAGAAGTGCAGCTATGCAGCCATGTGGAAAGGAGTCTCTCTTATTCCAGGGTTAAGAGGACAAGAAGAAGCCGTGAGATTTCATTTCAAAGATTAGAAGGAGAAATCCATTCTTTAATAGAAATGAGTGAAGTCTAGAATGAGTTGAGACTTCAGTGAGACATCAAGGAACCCTCTTTTGGATTTTAACCGACTAATGCTATATGCCAGCTCTCCTTGATAAGTCCAAGCAAACTGGCTTAAAGATATTTAAAACAATAACTTTAAGAAATTACTTTTGATACTTTAAAGTTGTCCTTTTCACCCCAAACCATTCAAATAGCAGGGACCACACTCCTGAAAGTGCCTTTAAGACGTGTATCCTTGCTCCTTGGAGAGGCACTAGAAGTGTAATAAATGTATTAAAAGTACTAAACAATTGATGATCATAAGTACATTTAATAAGAAACCTTGGTGATTTGGCCTCAACCATAGTCTATGACAGTGGTTCTCAAACTTTTGTACTGGTGATCCCTTTCACATAGCAAGCCTCTGAATGCAACCCCCTTTATAAATTAAAAACACTTTTTTATATATTGAACACCATTATAAATGCTGGAGGCAAAGCGGGGTTTGGGGTGGAGGCTGACAGCTCATGACCCCCCAGTAATAACTTCGTTACCCCCTGAGGGGTCCCGACCCCCAGTTTGAGAACCTTGGTCTATGACAATTGCTTGTAAGGCTGAAGTGGTGGTTTCAGAACATTGGTTGTGTCTACCCTTGATCGGTGAACTGCTGACTGCATCCTGAGGTGGTTCTGGGTGAATCAGTCACTTGTTGATTGGTTAAGAATAACCTGAGCATCGTGACCTGAGAAATACTGTTCAAGGTACAAGCTGGTAAGAAAGGAACCGAGTGTAAACGCTAGTAGACTAATGCTCTCTGGACTCAATAAAAAGGGGTTACCCTAATTCATTTCCAATTCCAATTCTGATTACAACACTTATCCAATTGGCAAATCTAGTTTGTTTCATTTCAGCTTTAAATTCTCACTGGCACCAAAGCAGCTTCATAACACTAACCCCCTTTCACTCTTACAAAGAGATCGGTTGCAGAAACAGAAAGCGGCGTCTCCATAGGGGGCACATGACTCTCGCGTTTGGGGAGGCTGGCTACGAGTGTTGGAAGAACCATAGAAGTGGGAGGGGCAACCGCCGCCCGGACCATGTCCCCACCCCGCCTGTGCCCCAAGGCTTCCCCCACCCGCTCCGCTTCGCCCCCTCCCCCGAGGCCCCCCCACTCACTCCACTTTGCGCCCTTCCCCAAGGCCGCCCCACCCGCTCTGCTTCACCCCTTCCGCCAAGGCCCCCCTCACCTGCTCCACTTTGCCCCTCCCCCGAGGCTCCCCTGTCTGCTGCTTGCTCCTCTGCACCCACGAGACCCTCCCCATCCACCTGCTGCTCATTCCTTTCTGCCCCCTCCTGCCGTCAGGGTGAGAGATGGGGGGGGAGGAGAGGAATGAGCGGCAGATGGGAGGGGTTCGGGGGAAGAGGTGCAGCGAGGGCGGGAAGAAGTAGAGCGGGGGCGGGGAAAAGAGGCCAAGCAGGGGCAGGGTTTTGCGATGGAGCATGGGTCGGGCCATAGTCCAGGTGCCAGTAGACCCCAACTTCTTGGCAGCCTCTGGCAGCGGCACTCCAAATGCGGTGGGTCTAAGCGTCCCCAAACGGGGCAAGAAATGCCAGATGTGGTGCACCTCCCTTTGGAGGTTAGCCTCCCCAATCCTCTTATACTCGCTACTCATGGGCATGGGCCCATGTTCCTGTGATTCAATGGGGCCGGAGCCAAATCTGTTTGAAATCAGTGGAAAAACTCCCTTGATTTCAGTGGACTGTGGATCAGACCAAGGAAACAAAGAAGATCTGGGGAGTCTGAGGTAACACTCTCCATATATTAGGACTCGTCTGCTTACCGCACGCAGCCCGCTGTCTCCATGGCTCAATGGCAATGCCACGACTTTGGCACCGCTGGGCATAACTGCGAAGCACTTGACACAGGGTCTCGCGGCTGCCCCGAGTCACACACACATCCCTCACGCAGTTCTCCAAGTGGATCTGAGCAGCAGCCGCCTGGTTACACGCTTTAAAAGGCCCAGCAGTGTCTGCAATGACCCCGCAGTAGCGCTGAGATCTGTACTGGGCTAGTTCCACTTCATTACATTGGGCTGGGAGCCCAACAGCCGTGCAGTGAAAAGGGGAGTCAGCATCCTTCCAGCTGTTGCCAAAGGGGACAGCATCAGGAACCACAGAACCGTTTGGGGTCCGGAAATCATCGCTCTGGTTCCCATTGAAATCCCCACCGAGTCCACACAGTGACCCAAAATAGATCTCAGAAACAGAAACCGACACAGAGTGGGACCAGTCGTAGGACACAGAGAGGCCAAAATCCGTCTGGAGCACAGCAGACGAGCCGCTGAAATAGGCGTAGAGTTTGCCTGATGCAAGGACCATGGGCAGATTGACCAGGGATCCGTTCACCTAGGGAGAAAGCGAGACAAGTGTGTGCGTTAATCCCCTCGCCCCAAGCCTGGTGCATTCATTGTCATGCCTACAGGCAGCCCGCATTTCGAGCGATTTCACATCACTTTTATTGTCTGTATCCTAGAATCGTTCTGTACGTTTGGGGTATTTGTTTTTCTGCCCTGCTCTATATTCCATCCCCTTTGCAAACCAGAACTATGGCCAGCTTGGCAGTTTGTTCCTCCAGGTCATTAGTAAATGAGGTTCCGAAGACAACCTGACAAAATTTAGAGCAAGACTGAACCACTGGCTTACCTTGGTAGCAGGTTCTTGACACCTACTTACATGGAAGAGGAGCATATTTAAGGCTTCTCCCAGTCATGATTTTCCTGGACCTACATTTCCTCCCCTAACTCTGTTCAGCACAGATGAGATCAATTTCTTCAAATCTGTGAAATGCTCTTACCTGCACTTGACCATACTGTCCCGCCACTATAGTGATATGCTCTCCATAGACATCTAGCTCCACCAGGCGCGTCCAGGACACCGCGATGGATCCTTTGTGCTCATTCTTCACGTTGACAGCGAAGTCTGGGAGGTTCCCAGGGGGGCCACAGTACTTGCTCAGGGTGTACTTGCAGGCTCCTTGATAATCAAACGTGACTCCATCAAACGTGGTGTGGTGGGAGTAGCCGAACACCCAGCAAGTGCCGAACGTCACAGGGTAACAGCCTCGGACGCCATCCACAACGCTGCATGTCTCCAGAGCCCCACAGGCATGATCCTGGCACTGCATGGGCTGGGCAGGCTGTCGGCAACCGCATTTCCTGCTGCAGGTGTCTGTCAGGATCACCTCCTCTCCCAGCTGGTGATACTGACCATTCAACGTGCAGCCGCACCGGCTCACAGGCACACAGCGTCCAGCGTCCAGCACATACCCTTCCCTACAGAAGCATCCCGCCACGCAGGGCTTTTTGCAGAGCAGGGGTGCACTAAGGTTGGCACAAGTGGCAGGGCAGGCAGGGCCACAGAAATCAAAATAATTCTTGGCTAGGCAAGTGAAACCTAGAAGAATCAAGAGAGACCTGCACATGAATTCCTTGCCAGCACTTCACAAAGAGCCCCGGGCTGATGTACAAGCCCTAACTATCTTTTCCCCATTTTTCATCTGAAAGTGTTGTTCATCTTCACTTGATTCCCAGCCAGGGCTAAAACCAGAGCAAGAGAAACCGTCCGCACTTGTGAATTCACTACAAACAGAATCTGCCCTCTGGGGAGTATTACTCTTCATATATATTTGAATGACTATCAGGCAAGAAAACAGAGAGAAGTGGCATGGATGGAATACCTAGAGTGGAAAAGGGACAGTTCTGATCCCAGCTTTTGCACCCACTTCCTAGTCCCATGAAAAGTAAACCTTTGGATTTGGTATCAGACAAGAAAGTGTATCTGCCTGTGGGAATGACTGGCATTGTTCCTTCCCTCCTCTTTACGTTGGAATGGGGGAAGCTGTGACAATTGTGTTGCACGTGCACATTGTGGAAATGCTGCTTGTGTTTTGCACTGCTGGTGTGTCAGGGCCCTGACTTTAGAGAACACTATCAATTTCACCCAGTAAATAGGTATTGTAGAGCTGGGATAACATAGACCGGGAATAGCCATTTTAAATAAAAGCCAAGACCCTTATCGCTTACTGCATCCCATCCGTGGTCTCCAGTTTGCCATTTTCACACCGACAATGGTGCACATCTCATCGTAAGATTCGATAGCTGTGCACAGCATGCGATTGCCCAGGCCATACTGACAAAGGTCGTAGACACAGGACTCGTAGTAAGGGGCTGGGCTCTCGTGCCAGTGACATTCAGAGAAAGGTCCCGAGCGGTTCGTTAGGATCCCACACAGCTGCTGGAACATGTGTAATTTTGGACAAGGCACAAGGTTGCCGGTGTCATTCGTACACCTGGAAGAGACATGTGAATAATGGTTACTAGGTTTTTCCTCTCATCTCGCTAAAGAGTCAGGATGCACCCGGGCGCACAGGCCAGTCCCTGATATAGAAGGTTGATGCATTCCGCATTCACATTTTTAGTGAGTACTTCATTCATTTGATTTTTGCTGTTCATCAGAAACTGACATTGTGAATAGTAGAGTCCAGTGTGAAATTCACCTGCAGGGCAAGCGCCTCAGATTTTGCCAGATGCTGCAGGGGACCCTGGGAAGTCTGAACTCTAATCCTCTGCCTCTTGAAGCAAAGGGAACCTAACATAACCAAGGGCCTGACCCTGCACCACTGAATTCCTGGGAGCTCTGCCCATTGACATGGAACCAAAGGAACCTTCTTCCACTTTCATTGGAGGATAGGTCCATCAATGGCCATTAGCCAAGATGGCTAAGCCTCTGAGTGCCAGATGCTGGGAGTGGACGACAGGGGATGGATCACTCAATGGTTGCCTCTTCTGCTCATTCCCTCAGAAGCATCTGGCATTGAACTGTTGGAAAATAGGACGCTGGGCTACATGGACCATTAGTCTGACCCAGTGTGGCTGTTCTTACAAGCAACCGGCTCATGAACTCCACAGCTGTGGTTCTCAACCTTTTTGGGCTCCAGACTCATGTGTAAATGTTGATGGCCTATCACAACCCAGTAAACAGGCTGTGGAGGGGGAGCTGGGTTCTTCCCCTGCAGGGATGTGGGGGGCGGCCCTGTGGGGTTGCATAGCCCCTCCCCCCACACTGACCCTGCAGCACCGACTCCTCCAGTCCAATGGGGCTGTCTGAGCTGGACTCTCTGCTCCGGGCTTTGTGACTTCTGGGGTTTCGCCACCACTCAGGTTTGGCCCAGCCGCCACTCTGTCATGTCATGTCATGTCATGTCTCAAACAGTGGTGCCGTGCCCCCACACACCAGGTCGGGGCACGACTCCGACAAATGTGACCCAGCCAGCCCCTCATCAGTGCAGCCTGGCAAACCTTACCAGAGCTGTGACCCCTAGGCTGTAGTGCACAGAGCATGGAGCTGAGCTCAGGCAGCTCCAATGGGCCAGAGCCACCACACAAGCCTTTCAAATATTCTGGTGCCTGGGTTTTGGGTCATGATCCAGTGCAATGGGGCCCACACTCTCCTTGTGCTCTACAAACAACAGGAGGGAAATATGGAAACTGTGTTCCCAGAAGCCCGAGGGAACAGGCCACTTGTAGGCTGGAGACTCCAGCCAGTAGGAGAAGCAGCACCAGAAGCATCCAAAGCAGGGACATCTGGTCATGTGGACACTCAGAACTGTCTAGAGCTTTGCCTCCACATTTTGTGCTCTATGCTGATGGGCTGTTTGGTCCAACCCTCCCATGCCCTCAAGGTCTCTTCACCTCAGCTTCACTCCACACCTGCCCCTCCTACTTCTCCTCCCCTGCCTTGTCCCTCTCACTCTCTTCCTTTCATTTTTAGCTAATCCCCTCTTAACTAAACCCACCTCCATACCCCCAAGAATATCATGAAACTAACAGGCTGTTTGCTAACATCACATTTTCCCCTCTGCTTCTGTGTTCGACCCCTTTCCTCTGCCCTGTGTCTATCTTGTCTAGTTAGACCAGTGGTCCCCAAACTGTGGGTCACACCTACTAGGGGGCGCGGAGGAATGTTCAGGGGGGTGCAGCGGGACCCAGTCCAGCCCTCATGGGGGGAAGGGAGGGAGCACCACCCAGCCCCGCTCTGCCCCCAGCTCTGGTCCAGCCCCGTCCCCAGCTCCTAGCCCCGAATACCAAATCTCAGCGTGCTGAGCTATTCTTAGATTTTCCAACCCCTCCAGGAACCCTTCAGGTCTCTGCCAGGATGCTGGTATTTTCCCTTTCTGTAGAAAAAGTGGCTAGGGGATAAACAAACATACCCGGGAGGGCTGGTGTCAGAAATCCAGGCGTTCCCGAACTGTGTGTTGTTCCCGGCTCTCTCTCCGCTGGGCAGGACCTTATCATCCATGGGATTGCCATTGAAATTCCCACACATCCCACATAGCTGCTTCCGATACTCCGGGCCCACACGGACAAACAAGCTACTGGCACCATTAAACTGGATCTCCAGGCTGCCCTTTGCTCTCACTGTTAGCTGGTTCTTCAGTCTCAGGACTTTGGCAACAGTGCCCAGATGTGCTGGTAAGCGAGTCCGTAGCCCATTAACCTGAGACATAAAGGCAAAATTCGTTTCCTACCCAGTCAGGAATTTTGCTTCTCTAAGCCGGTACCTGCTGCTGCATCAGCTAAGCACTGAGGGGTTTGTGAGTCTTCGTCCAACACGTGGAGATAGTGTATGAAATTGTGTTTGACAGATCTCTGTGCTGGCCCTGAACTCCAAACCCATCCAGAGCCCCGTAACAATGACACCACTAGGAAATACAGAGTAATTGGATCCTGGGTGGCACTGTATTTGTGCCTCAAAATGGCCCATCAGTCAGTGCAGACGGTCTCAAGAGAATCACCCCAGTGCAGGGGGATTTTACAGTAGTGAAGGATCATTACACCAGCCCCTACCCCACCTTCCCTGGGCCTCGCTCTGACCTCAGGTGGACTGATTTTACATCAGTGTCATTGCATTGACTGTAACAGGGTTACTGAGGACAGGATCAGGCCCTTTGTTCCTTTTTATAACCGAGATGATTGTGACACTACGCTCCATATTCTTCATAGAAATATTGTTATAATATGATTATAGCAGATCTAAGATGTATTTTATGCAAGATGGGTCTTGTGAGATATCATTGGAAAGGTTCTGAGTTACTGAATATGATTGGCCTACTTGTATGCATGTATAATTTTTGTATCTAAAGTTAGGAGGCTGGACTATATGGGGGAGGGATAGCTCAGTGGTTTCAGCATTGGTCTGCTAAACCCAGGCTTGTGAGTTCAGTCCTTGAGGGGGCCACTTAGGGATCTGGGGCAAAATCGCTACTTGGTCCTACTAGTGAAGGCAGGGGGCTGAAATCAATGACCTTTTGGGGTCCCTTCCAGTTCTAGGAGATATATATAGAGATATACCTATCTGTTCTACAAAAATGTTTGCACCTGGGGAATGCCCACCAGACCAAATGCAATCTGGCTAGCTGGAAACAAGTCAATAGACCACTAGGGAGAACAACAGGTCTTTGAAGATGCTAATCTCTCACTTTCCTGAGATGTTACAAACAGCCTTTGACTCATGACTGCTTTGACACTGCAGGGTCATGTGATCATGTCACCAGGTACTGGACTCCATGATAGAATACCAGGATATTTCCACTGAGGGGGGTGGGAATCACACTGAAAGACAAAGGAGTCCCACCCTATGTACATCCCATTTAAGGCAGGGGAGTGAGATCATCAGCTTTCGTTCTTCACTGAATCCTGCCCAGGATGACTGCTGTGAACATCAAAGAAACAAAGATGGGGGGAAGGATTGAGCGGTGTCTGGCCTGTGAAAGAAATACCCAGAGTTTTAAGCTGCAAGCAAGAGCAGCAGCTTGCTTGCAAGAACCTCTGCAATCTGTCTAAAACAACAACATCTAGGGTGAGAAACTACAACTTGTAACCAGTTTTTTTAGTATCTTAAGCTTATATTGTGTTTGTTTTACTTGCTTGGTGATCTGTTTTGATCTGTTTGCTATCCCTTAGAATCACTTAAAATCTATATTTTGTAGTTAATAAACTTGTTTTTGTTTTCTCTAAAACCAGTTTGTGGAATTCATGACTGGGGTGTGTGCGGGGGGAAAGCTGTGCAGAGCTTCCTCCACATTGCGGGAGGGAACAAATGTCATGAGCTTACGCCGCACAGTTCTCTCTGCAGCGCAAGGCGATATAACTTTGGGTTCACACTCCAGAGGAGGTGTGCACTGGAGTGCTGGGCCGCTTCTGAGCTGACACTTCCCAGGCAGAGCTGGTTTCAGTGTCTGGGCCTTTCTGCAGCTGGGCGTGTCCCTACCTGTGTGTGGGCTGGAGGAGGCTTGAGGGCCTGGCTCGGCAGGACAGTGTAAGGAAACCCAGGCTGGCAAAACAGGCGAGCTCAGTGGTACCCCAGTATATCAGGTGGCACCCCGGAGTGGGGGGGGCGGTAACCCATCACAAGGATGATCAAGATTTTGAAGTCACCAATCATTTAGACTTCCTCCATTTTGGGATACTGAATGTGACACCTCACAAGGCCTGACCTTAAGAAAATGCTGAGCACCTCCCCTTGGATAATGAGGCTCCTTCTGATGCCTCAGGTGAAATACCCAAACATTGCTCCACCGCCAGTCACTACACTCTTGAAAATATTGATGGGACCAGAAGTAAAATCCCACACAACAAGAAACAGTTATTGCCTGACTCCTGAAACAACTGGAAACAGAAATCTAGAAGAAAAGTCTCTCTCTATATTTGAGACACAGAAGAATCCTTCTGCCTCTAAAACACCTATGGTGAAACCACTAGACACAATATTTATTATTATTAATTATTATTATTATACAGGTCAACTCACATGGACAGCTTTGCCTCTCTCTAGGACAATATGAGCATTAAAATTGCCAGTGCTGAGCCAAATTTCCACTCGGTAAACGAAAGACACCCGGGGATTCCGGAAATGCCTGTTTGCTGTCACCACGCGGAAAGACAAGTCCAAGGAGGAGTTGCAGGTGTGGGAGATCTCATAGTCACATATGCCTTGGAAATGTGCCACAGCCCCATCAAATGTAAAGTAGTGAGGATCCCCTGTTACAACACACGTCGTCAAGAGACTCTGGCATCCCAGCTTGCTGTTCTTCACAGCACACTGCTGGCCTGGGTAGCATTTAGCTCGGAAGCAATGGAAATGGTCTCGGGAGTCACAGCTACATCTCTGGGTACAACCAGAGAACCAGACGTGGTCTCCAATCTGGGATAGAGAGAGAGAGAAGAAATAAATTATCCTCATCATCAGCATCATCACCAACACAACCTCTTAACCAAACCCCAGAGGAAATCTCAGAACCAAGATAGACCAAAATGTACTAAAGTTCTTTGTTAATTATCTCTCTGCTTTGCTAGAAAGCAAGAAGACCTGACCAAACACAGAGAGAAAAGAAAGTGTTCAAAGTGACATGGACTAAGATTAGAATTGGATGGAAGTTTCCATTTGAAACATTTATTTTTTTTTAACGTAAAAGGACTTTTTCATAACAACAAATTTCTGGAGGAATGTCCAATTTTGACAAAAAATTTCAGGTTTTGATGAGAAAAAAACAACAGTGAACATAATCTGGTTTCCAGCAACTGAAAAACAAATGATTTGGGCCAACAATTGAACCTATTTGGTTTTACATCAAAACTTTTCAATATTTAGCCAGAATTTGACTTTAAGCTGAAAACATCAAAACTGTTGAAGAAAAATGTTGATGCTCAAAACGTTAATGTTTCACTGAAACTTTTCATTGGAAAACAGAACATTTCCCGATGAGCTGTATCTCAGATACTCCCCATGGAATGTGTGGGCTAGTGGAAAAGCAGGTTCTCTACTCTCGGAAAAAAAAGAAAATAGATTTTCTGCCATATGTTCAAATGCACCCAAATTCCCCCGTGTGGTCTAGTCAGAGTGTGAACTATCAACTCACCCCGTAGTAGCGTCCGTCGTGCTCACAGCCACAGTGCTCTGGCAAGACACACTCATCCCCGCTCCACAGGTACCCATCATTACAGAAACACCCTTCAGAGCATGTGTGCCCGCAGTACTTCTGAAGCCAGGATCCAGCACACATGTCCTGGTAGTGAGTCTCACAGAGCTCATAGTGACTGTGCGGGGGGCACGAAAGGGCTATAAAAGAGGGAATTGGAAGTTCCTGGGTCACTATCGGCACATCGCTGGAATTATCCAAACAAAACTCAGGATTGAAAATGCAGAGCTTTCACAGTAGCAAACCCATTGCTTTTCACTTGGCTACAGGCTCCTTACTTTTAAAACAGTGATTTTCAAGTGGGCTTCAAAGAGTTCAATTTCAGTGGCATTTGAACCCCAACTCTCTTAGTTCCTTCGAAATTCCCACTTTAAAAGAGGGTTTCAGAAGTTAGAAGGCTTCTCTGTGCAGTCTAAAGGGGAGAGCAGCCCCCACCCAATCGACAAAGAAACCCAGAACTGCAAGATAGGAAGAACCGAAATTGCCCAGGAAGGTAAGTCCGTGCTCTGTAGTCACAGGAAATTGATCCTGTCGTTCCGTGTACATGACTTTACTAGAAGCTCCTGGCGCAAGTCCAGAGGAAGAAGAAATATAAGAGACGAGCCCTCCCTACTACTGTGTCTGAGGGGGGATGATTGGCAAACAAGCCTGAATACAATGAAACATACCTACAGTATTTATTGTATAAGGGTGGGATCGAGAACTTCCTCTTCAGATACAGTCTGCAGCATTATGCACAAGAGGCTGAATGCCGGTTGCATGGGCAACCTTAGTACTGGCATTTCCCAACCCTGCACCGCTTGGCTTTGCAACCTGAATGTTGTTTGAATGTCATTCTTTGTGTGTGGTTTATATTAGGATATTGTGTTTGAGTTTGATTTGTCTGTCTGAACTTGCAAAAATACATGTGTTTAGTTACATGGAAACTGTGGTCACTTACCACAGAAGGACTCGCTCCTCCAAGGTGAGATGGAGACATTCGCTCTCTGGCAGGCGGCTGCGTATGTCTGAATGGACTGGCATAGGACACTGCTCTCCCCTCCTGACACACACAGATCAAAGATGCAATCAGACAGATAGTGGCCTGGGTCAATCTGGGAGTGGCAAGCGGAGAATGGCCCATCAGGGTCCTGGATCACCCAGCACTGGGACTTGGACTGTACCAGACTTTCCTCCTCTTCACACCCAGGGCAGGAATCAGAGCAGCCGTCGTCACAGCCAGGGACATCCTCCGACTTCCAGTCTGCAGCGAAGTGGAAGGCGTCCTTCCCTAGGGAGCCGTTACGCGTCACAAAATCATCCTCAGTGGCCCCATTGAAGTTCCCGCACAGCCCACAGGTCTGGCCTCGGTACTCAGGGGGGAGGCCGACAAAGAGACTGTGGGCCAGGTCGTAGCTCACACTCAGCCCAAACTCTGTTTTCACTACCGTGTACAGTCCAGCCTGGTAAATGATGATTTCTCCTGCATTGACACTCACTGGGAGGGTCGCAGTGACCCCATCAATCTGATTGAAAGAAATAGCAGCAAAGAGATTATTCCTGGGAATGAATCCTGCAGACAGTTCAATGCCACAATCAGAAGAGGAAGGCCTACAGGTGGTTGAGGAAATGAGGGAAAACAATATAGTGTTTGGTCTGTTTGAATGGCTTGATACTAATCCTCTATATTTATTGTTCCAGAACAAGGCAGTGGAGGGTAGATGACAATAAATACTTCTGCACTGACTGGGATGGGGGGGGGGGGGGAAGGTAATTGAATAGATGAGCTAGCAATGTCTATCACTAATTTATCTGCTTTCCCAGAGAGCAATAGACCCATGGAATTACCTTGACTGTCCCGTGCTGCCCTCTCTGCAGATGGATCTCAGTCCTGTTCACAAGGACAAACACCTCTGAGGTCACAGCCACAGGAACACGGGGCAGGTTTTCATTCTTCACTTCCACTCTGAAGAAGGGTAAGGACTGGGATGCCCCACACACTTCAGCAAAGACATATCTGCAGGTGCCCTGAAAATCGTATCGCTTCCCATCAAACGTAGTGTAATGGGGCAGCCCAGAAGCCCAGCAGATGCCGTTGGTTCGTTCGTGGCATCCATAAACCCCCTTTCGAGTGCCACAGAATTCCCCCGGGGCACAGGCAGAGCGGGAGCACTGGACAGCGTGGGAGGAGCCGTCACATCTGCACAATCTCTGGCAATTTTCTCCTTCCCAGAAGCTTTCCCCTGCCAGGTGGTATCTGCCATTGTGGGTGCAGCCGCACTGCTCCCGAGGCACACAGTCGGTGCCACTCAGCACAAAGCCAGGGTCACACTGGCACCCTTCTTCACACGCAGTCCGGCAGCGGGAGGGCACAGCTGGGTGGGCACAAGAGGCCGGGCAGGAAGGGCCACAGAGCTCATAGTGGCTGTTGGAGGGGCAGGTTGGCTCTGAAAGGGAGATGAAGAACTGCGGTTAGAAATACAGAAGGAACGCTCCCGGGAATCCTCCCAGACAGGAAATATAATAAAAGAAATAAAAATGAAGTAGGAAAGAGCCATAAATGAATATTCCTTTCTAATGTGTATTTCTTGATAGATATTCAGGTTTTGTAGTCTGTTACAAAATCATGTTTTTTATAATTAATATACTTACTAAGTGATACAAGTGTGTTATTATACCTCTGTGGCTAGCACTGTTGGCTGGACCATAACTTTCACAGAAAGGCCAACACCATCACATTGGCAGAAAATCCCTGGGAATTTATAGAGAATGCTATTCTATTTAAGTTGTTGAAAATAAAGCCCCTTCCGCCTAAATCTGGTAGCTGTCCAGGAGACACTTAAAAATCCCTTGGCATTTCTCAAAAAGAGTAGGGGATTAAAGCAGTGCCCTTGCTAAAACTGTCTCATTCAATAAAAAATATTTCTAATGTCTGAGGCTGTGTACATACCATTCCTGGGAGAACAATATCTGCTGCATTTCTCTATATAGTCAAGGCACAGTGAATATCTATCTCATTGCTTTCTGGGTGCTTGGGACACCATAATTAGAACTGAGGAAACCAAAAACTCTGCTCTACATCTGGAATGTCAACATACTCTATTGCAGCTAACCAGAAAAGAAGATTTTAATGGTCCATTATAGTCTAAGTGCTATCATTATTCACAGAAGGTATATAAAAAAAAAAGACAGAGAAGTTCTTATTCTCTGGTGCTGTTTATCTTGTATGGTCATTTAAACCCATATGATTTGAGAGTTAAATGGCTTTAAAATGTTATCCCATCACAAAAAGAGTGTTGACTACCCAACGTGCACAAAGGCTGCACAAGGTGCAAATCAGTGGAGAATCTACTCAATGTTCCCATGCCCAGTGGTTGAGTGATTTAAAAAAAAATGTGGGAATTTGTGGGTTACCATTCATGAAAGCTCTCCTGAAATCAGTGGCTTACCACACCCAGCCAGTTGTCTCCATGGTTGTATAGTGATGCCATGACTTTGGCAATGCACAGCATAACTCCGAAGCGTATCGCAGAGTGTTTTGTGGCTGCCTTTGGTGGCACAGAGATCATGCACACAGCTCTCCATGAACATCTGAGCATTAGTAAGGTTGCTACAACGTTTGAAAGGTCCTTCCATGTCTGTTATGATCCCACAGTAGCTCTGAATTCTGTACTTGTTTTTAGCTCCTTTGTTGCATACAGTTTGTGGACCAACAGCTGTGCAATGGAAAGGGGAATCGACATCCTTCCAGCTATTCACAAAAGAGACAAGGTCCGGAGCTACAGATCCATTGGGCATCCTGAAATCATCACTTGGGTTCCCATTGAAGTCTCCTCCGAGCCCGCAGACCAGCCCAGAGTAAATCTCTGGTATAGTAATCGTCACATAGTGGAACCAGTCATAAGATACAGAGAGGCCAAATTCTGTCTGGATGATGACAGATGAGCCGCTGTAATAGGCATAGAGTTTACCTGATGCTAGGACAAGGGGCAGATTGACCAGGGATCCATTCACCTAAGGGGAAGAATTCAGCATGACCAGGAAAGGTCCTGAAGAATCGGCCTCATGTTTGCAAATAATAATCTCCTTCCTTAGCCCATTAAAGCTGATGCTAGATCATCCTTTGCTTCAAAATGTGTTGGTGTACGCCAGTGTGATGTACGCACAACTCTCTGCCTGTTCATACGGTGTTCTACCAACCCCTCACTTCTTTGCTTCTGCAGTCTCCTCCCATCCCCTCTCACCTTTTCAAAACAGGGTCTCTGCCCACCCTGAATACCAATCCCTGCACATTGGTACCACATGCCAGGGTGCACCACTCATTGCAGTGGTTTGATTTTAGGCTGCTGGAGAGACATGAGCAACCCCTTTGCAATTCACTTTCTTTGTACAGGGGAGAACGTTCAGGGCTTCTCTGTTCTGTGGCGTGATTTTCAGGGATTCCAGCTGCCATGAAAGCTGACAGCCGCTGCAAGTGCTCCGTCCCTCTGAAAATCCACCCGTTGGTTCCTAATGTCAGCGGATTGCTTCAGTGCTGGTAGAGGGGCAGGGGAAAGCACTGGGGGGATACACTGACTTGGGGAAGAGTGTCCAGCTGATGAGGTGAAACTTAGGCAGAGGACCTGCCTTCAAACCCCTGTCCCCATCCTGGCCTCCTTACTCCCTGACTAGCTTGCCCGCCCTGTCAATCAGACTGACCTGGAGCACTGGCCTCTCCCTATTCTTTTAGTGCTGGGAGCTAGCCAACCAAAACACCCCCTTACCAAAACACTGAATGTTAGTAAGGGGACAACAGCAAGAGAAGTTGGAAAAAAATTAAATTAAAGCTCTCACCTGCACTTGGCCGTGCTGTCCCACTGCAACAGCAATATGCTCCCTGTAGACATCCAGCTCCACCAGGCATGTCCAGGACGCCGTGATGGAGCCCCTGTGCTCATTTTCCACTTTGACAGTGAAGTCAGGGAGATTCCCAGGGGGGCCACAGTACTTGCTCAGGGTGTATTTGCAGGTACCTTTAGAGTCAAAAGCAAGTCCATCGAAAATGTGATAGTGGGGGTGGCCAAACACCCATAAGGTACCATATTTCACAGGGTAACAGCCTCGGATGCCATCCGCAATGCTGCATGTCTCCAGAGCCCCACAGGCATGATCCTGGCACTGCATGGGCTGGGCAGGCTGCCGGCAGCTGCATTTCCTGCTGCAGGTGTCTGTCAGGATCACCTCCTCTCCTAGCTGGTGATACTGACCATTCAACGTGCAGCCGCACTGGCTCACAGGCACACAACGTTCAGCGTCCAGAACATAGCCTTCCCTACAGAAGCATCCCGCCACGCAGGGCTTGGTGCATTGGATGGATGAATTAAGGCTGATGCAAGAGGCAGGGCAGGGAGGGCCACAGAAGTCAAAATAGGTGTTGGCTGGGCAGTTGACACCTAGGGAAGAAAAGGGATGAAGAGTCACCTGTACATACAGGTGCTGAGAGTGTTTTACAAACAAGTTACGAATTTCCCACAAACACTAAGATTCTTTTCACTATTGAGTATCCAAGAGGAGCTTCTTTGATGATTTCTTCAATGGCGTAACTTCTCAATCCACCTTGAGGGCTCTATGAATTGAGAGGAAAACAAAAGACCCCCTGTTGCTTACCACAGCGCAGCCCTTGCCTCCACTTTGCTACTTTCACACCGTGAAAGGCACATATCTCGTCGTAGGATTCGACAGCTGCACACAGCATGTGATTGCCCAGGCCATACTGGCAGAGATCGTAGACACAGGATTCATAGTAAGGGACTGGGCTTTCATACCAGTGACACTCAGAAAAAGGCCCGGAGCGGTTCGTTAGGATCCCACACAGCTGCTGGAACTCAGTCAATTTTGTACATGCCTCTGTGTTGCCAGTGTCATTTTTACACCTGAAAGTGTAATGCAAATACCAGTTATAGGGTTATTTCTTTTACCAGAGGCATCTTTTTATAGAGTCAGAACATCTGTCTATGTACAGACCAATTTCTGACATGGCTCAAGGCTTATTACAGAAATTCTTCCTTGCCCACTCTCATAGAATCATAGAATATCAGGGTTGGAAGAGATCTCAGGAGGTCATCTAGTCCAACCCCCTGCTCAAAGCAGGACCAACCCCAACTAAATCATCCCAGCCAGGGCTTTGTCAAGCCGGGCCTTAAAAACATCTAAGGAAGGAGATTCCACCACCTCCCTAAGTAACCCATTCCAGTGCTTCACCACCTTCCTAGTGAAATTGCTTTTCCTAATATCCAACCTAGACCTCCCCCACTGCAACTTGAGACCATTAGTCCTTGTTCTGTCATCTGGTACCACTGAGAACAGCCTAGATCCATCCTCTTTGCAACCCCCTTTCAGGTAGTTGAAGGCTGCTATCAAATTCGTGCTTTACTGGGAGAGGTCTCTCCCAGCGCTGGAGCTGCGACTACAGAGCTATGGCTAGTGAAGACATCCCCTTAGAGTCACTGCTTCCCAGGTCAGAGTCCCTCCCTCTGTAAGTATGGCTGACATTCATTGTTCCTAGATGCATAATTGTACATTTGGCCACATTAAACGGCATCCTCTTGGCTTGCATCCAACTTACCAAGTGATCCAGATCTAGGGTGACCAGATGTCCCGATTTTATAGGGACAGTCCTGATTTTTGGGTCTTTTTCTTATATAGGCTCCTATTACCCCCCACCCCCTGTCCTGATTTTTCACATTTGCTGTCTGGTCAATCTATCCAGATCATTCTGTACAGTGCTTAATTTGTAATGAAAGAGGTGCTGCGGCTCAGCCCTGGAACAAATTAAGCCCTGATTCCGTATCATTGACCTGCTCTCTTCATTATTTACCACTCCCCCCACTGGAAACACAGACAATTCCACGTTTACAGTTACATTTTGAGACCAGTCACTTAGCCCCTTTTTAACCCATTAATGTGTGCCGGAGTCATTTTGTATCATTCTCGGTTTTTATTCTAAATCTTGTGTGGTACTAAGTCAAATGCCTTACAGAAGGCAAAGTAAATTAAATCAACGCTATTATCTTTATCAACCAAAGTTGTACTCTCATCAAAATAATATATCACGTTGGTTTAAATTAAAACATAAAAAATAAATTAATGGAGATATCCTATCTCCTAAAACTGGAAGGGACCTTGAAAGGTCACTGAGTCCAGCCCCCTGCCTTCACTAGCAGGACCAAGTACTGATTTTGCCCCAGATCCCTAAGTGGTCCCCTCAAGGATTGAACTCACAACCCTGGGTTTAGCAAGCCAATGCTCAAACCACTGAGCTAACCCTCCCCCCAAATCTGGTTTGACAGATCTATTTCCCATAAAACAGTGTTGATTCCCATTACTTATATTACCGTCCTTTAAACCTTTATTTTAGTCATGTTCTAGCCATTCCCTTATTATGTCCAGAATCAATGTCAAGGTGACAGGCCTACAATTACCTGGGCTATTCTGTTTATTCTTTTTAAATATAGGCACAACACTAGCTTTCTTCCAGAGAAAGAGAAGATATTTTAGGGGATGTCTAACATGGCAAAAAAACAAACAAACAAAAAAACCACACAGTCAGAACCCAGGTCAACTAGCTCAAGCCCATGGGGCTTGCACTGTGGGGCTAAGAATAGCAATGTAGACATTTTTCCTGCTTGGGCTGGAGTCTGGGCTCTGAAACCCTCCCCTCTGGATTCTGAGGCTCACTGCCATGGGGTTTCTTTTGCAGTGTAGACAAACTCCTAGAGCAACAGAGTGTAGGGAGAAGGACAGATGTGGTCATGGAAACAGGCATTCGCAGACAAAGAAGGGAAGATCAATAGATAACAAACACACCTTGAGGGGCTGATGTCAGAGGTCCAGGTATTCCCAAACTCTGCGTCATCCTGGGCTTTCTCCCCACTGGGCATGACTTTATCATCCCTGCGATCCCCATTGAAGTTCCCGCACATCCCGCACAGCTGCTCCCGATACTCCGGGCCCACACGGACAAACAAAGCATGGCGGCCATTAAACTGGATCTCCACGTTGGCCTTTGCTTTTAGAGTCACCGTGTTCTTCACCCTTGTGATGTTGGCCACAGGTCCCAGCTGAGCTGGTAAAGGAATCTTCACACTATCAACCTGTAACAAACAGTTGCCTGCGACTAAGGAGAACTATCCTGATTGTATAATACCTCTGTTCACAAGGGATTACAAAGGGAATCTCCTTCCACAGCAGCATGGCACCAAGATACCAGCCATGTAAGCGCATCCTGTGATTCACAGAGATGTTATACAGGGAGCGGCTCGGCAGCTCAGTTACACAATACCTCACTACACTCAACAGAGCAGGAGCTGAGTGCAGCTATCATGCCCAGCGGAGCAGGACTCACAGGAGAGGAGTCTCAGCAAGTTTATATGGAGCAGGGATCACAAAAGCACAACTCCAGCTCAGAAGCAGTAGGAGCTCACAGGAAAGTCACTATTGAGGTTCTCTGTAACATAAAAGAATAGCAATCCCCCCTCTGGTTAGCTATGGAATTCACCTAGTCACCTTGCCAGTATTAGATTCTCCTTCCAGTTGTGTCTGTTTCTTCGCTGCCCTTTTTTGATAATGGATCAAAGTGCTCAACTCACCAGAACGTCTTTGCCTCGCTCCAGAACGACATGGGAATTAAAATGGCCAGTTCTGAGCCAAAGTTCCACTCGGTAAATGAAGGAGACCCGGGGATTCCGGAAATTCCTGTTTGCGGCCACCACCCGGAAGGAGAAGTCGAGGGAGGAGTTGCAGGTGTGTGAGATCTCGTAGGCGCACGTGCCCTGGAAATGGGCCACAGCCCCATCGAAGGTGAAGTAGTGAGGGTCCCCTGTCACCGTGCAGGTGGTCAGCTGGCTCTGGCAGCCCAACTTCCCGTCCTTCACAGCACACTGCTGGCCGGGGTTACAGCTGGCGGGGACACACCAGAAAGTACCAGAGGAGTCACAGCTGCACCTTTGGGTGCAATCAGCGAGCCAGAGAAAGTCCCCAAGCTACGATAAAGAGAAAGATTGAAAGAGAAGGGGAGAAAAAAATCAAAACATCATCAAAATATTGTAACAAACACATTAAGGAAATCTGAGAAATGAGACACAAACAGGAAACAAGCCCCAATTCTCATCAAGAGTCATTTTATACGTGATTCTGACCAACAGGAAGGAATTGGTAGCGAATCTGAAGGTGGGGCAATTTTGGCAAAAGTGATGATTCTGAGGAAAGGAAGACGAGTACAGCAGAATAAGGACAATGAGCTTAAAAAAGAGAGAGAGAGCTGGCAGGTTGTCAAGGGGACAATATTAAACACATAATTGCAAATGATCCTGATTCGAAGGAAAGATAGGAAGAATACTAAGAGGCTAATATGGCTTCATTGGGAGCTCTTTGGTAAAATGGACTAATTGCTAAGGAGGAGTACAAATGAATAGCACAAGCATAGGGACAAAATCAGAAAGGCTAAGCCCTGGACTACACTACAGAGTTAGGTCAACACAAGGCAGCTTACATCAACCTAACTCTACGTGTCTACGCTAAAATTTCACTCCCGCCGATGTAACTTGTCTGCTGCTCCGACTTCATAACTCCAATTCCATGAGAGGCATAGAGCCAATGTCGATGTAGTTGGTTGACATAGTGTCAGTGTAGACACTGCACTGCTTACATTGACTGTTGCTGGCTTTCATAGAATCACAGAATCACAGAATCTCAGGGTTGGAAGGGACCTCAGGAGGTCATCTAGTCCAACCCCCTGCTCAAAGCAGGAACAACCTCAACTAAATCATCCCAACCATCAGACGCCATCCCACAGTGCCCCATACTGGCAGGTCAATCGGTGCAAGTGCTCCTGGTGCGGGCACACACTGCTGACAGAAGGAGCATAGTGTAGACATGCACAAGTGATACAATTACTGCGACAGCTGTATGCTGACGTACGTTAGGTTGACATAATTTTGTAGTATAGACATTCCATATGGCACAAAATGAGTTACACCTAGCAAGGGACATAAAAGGCAATAGAAAGAGGTTCCTGAAATACATTAGAAGTAAGAGAAAGATGAAGGAAAGCTTAGGTCCTCTACTTAGTAGGGAAGGAGAGCTAAAAACTCATGACATCAAGAAGGCTGAGGTGTTTAATGCCTATTTTGCTTCAGTCTTCACTAAAAAGTTAATAGTGACTCAACACAACTAATATTAACAAGAGGGAAGGAACACAAGCCAAAATAGGGAAAGAAAAGTTTAAAGCATAGTTAACTAAGTTAGATGTATTCAAATTGGTAAGGCCTGATTAAATTCATCCTAGGGTACTTAAGGAACCAGTGGAAGCAATCTTGGAACCTTTAGCAATTATCTTCAAGAACTCCTAGAGGACGAGTGAGATCCCAGAGGACTGGAGAAGGGCAAACATAGAACCTATCTTTAAAAAAGGGAACAAAAAGAACCTAGGGAAGTATAGACCAGTCAGCCTAATTTCAATATCTGGAAAGATTCTGGAAAAAATATTAAACAACCAATTTTTAAGTACCTAGAGTATAATGGGGTTATAAGGAATAGCTAGCATGGATTTGAAAAGAACAAATCATGCCAAACCAACCTAATTTCCTTCTTTGACAGGGTTACTGGCCTAGTAAACCTGGATGGGGGGGAAGCAGTAGATGGAATAGATCTTGATTTCAGTCAGGCTTTTGACACAGTCCCACATGACATTCTCATAAGCAAACTAGGGAAATGTGATCTAGATGAAATTACTATTAGGTGGGTGCACAACTCGTTGGTACACCGTACTCAAAGAGCAGTTATCAATGGTTCACTGTCGAACTGGGAGGGGGTACCTAGTGGGGTCCCGGAGGGGAAGCAAAGCATGCTTATAAAATATGCAGATGACACCAAGCTGGGAGGGGTTGCAAACACTTTGGACAACAGGATTAGAATAGAAAATGACCATGACAAATTGGAGAATTGGTCTGAATTCAACAGGATGAAATTCTATAAAGACAAGTGCAAAGTTCTTTGCTTAGGAAGGAAAAATCAGATTCACAATTACAAAATGGGGAATAACTGGTTAGGAGGTAGTACTGCTGAAAAGGATTTTAGGGTTATCGTGGATTACAAATTGAATATGAGTCAACAATGTGATGCAATTACGAAAAAGCTAATATAATTGTGGGGTTTATTAACAGGAGGGTCGTATGAAAGTCACAGGAGGTAACTGTCCCACTCTATTCTGCACCGGGTAGAGTACTATGTGCAGTTATGGGCACCACACTTTAGGAAAGATGTGGACAAATTGGAGAGAGTTGAAAGGAAAGCAACAAAAATTACAAAAGGTTTAGAAAACCTGACCTATGAGGAAAGGTGAAAAAACTGGCTATGTTTAATCTTGAGAAGAGAAATCTGAGTGGGGACCTGATAAGCCTTTAAATATGTTAAAGGTTGTTATAGAGAGGACAGTGATAATTGTTCTCCATATGCCCTGAAGGTAGGTAATGGGCTCAAAACGGAAGCAAGGGAGATGAAGATATTACAAAACACTATCTATAAAGGTAGTTAAGCACAGGAACAGGCTTCCAAAGGAGGCTGTGGAAGCCCCGTCATTGGAGGTGTTTAAGAATAAGTTGGATAAACACCTGTCAGAGCTGGTCTAGGCTTACTTGGTCCTGCCTCAGCCAAGGGCTGGACTTGATGATCTCTCGAGTTCCCTTGCAGCTGTATATTTCTATGATCTGTCACAGCCTCTAGCAGGTGCCAGCTCCAATCTGGTCTTCTCCCTGCTCACAGCTCCCTCACTCACCCTGAATTCTCCAGCGACCAGTCCTGAATACTGGAGACAAATTAACTTATTCTCCAGCCATTAAACTCCTCCATCCCCAATCTCCTCTAGAAACACCTGCAACCCTGCCTCCTCCCTGCACACACTCCTTGACCTACAATCCATCCAGGATTGCTTTTAAGGGTGGGAGGCTGCCGCACCATACCTGGCCTCCTGGGGCCCTGGCTGCAACAAATGGCACAGTTCACACCTCTTGGAGTGACAGTTTTGGGGCTGCCTATTGTAAAGGTGGGGGGAAAAACCACCCCATTGTCAGCATGGTTTTATTGCAGGGATTCATCAAGTAGCACAATTTCTCCTGCAAGTTAAGAACATCAGATCATAAGAACTGCCACACAGTCTCAGACCAACGGTCCATCTAGCCCAGTATCCGGTCTCTGACAGTGCCCAATACCAGAGATTCAGGTGGAGAGTAAAGAACATGGTAGTTGAGCTCTGAAACAGGCTTCCAATGGAGGTTCTGGAATCCCCATCACTGGAGGTTTTTAAGAACAGGTTGGACAAACACCTGTCAGGGATTGTCCAAGGTCTACTTGGTCCTTCCTCAGCGCAGGGGGCTGGCCCTGATGACGTCTAACGGACCATTCCAGCACTACATATCTATGATAAATATTCTGATCTCCTTGAAAGGAAGCGAAGATTAGATTAGATTAGATAGTCCTTGACTAAAGCAAATCAGATTCTCTCTCATACAGTCTTTTCACTGTCCTGAGTTGTCAGGTCTGAGAGAGAAGTGGAAACTCACCCCATAGTAGTGTCCGTCATGCTCACAGCCGCAGTGCTCTGGCAGGACGCACTGATCCCCACTCCGCAGGTACCCGTCATTACAGAAACACCCTTCAGAGCACAGGGAGCTGCAGTGATTTTCAAGAAAGGAGCCTGCACACAGGTCCCGACAGGGATGCTCACAAAGCTTGTAGTGACTATTTGCTGGGCAGCAAGGGTCTGTGAAGAGCATTGGAAGAGGAAAATTGTTCAGAGATTTGGACGGGTATGAAACTTTGGCATGACTGTATCTTACACTCCCACTGTTACTAGTCAGGGCTTTGGGCCCAATGACTCAAATTCTTCTTCAAAATAATAACGAAGGACAAGAAAACCTAACATAGAAGGCTATGGGTCCTTTACTTTGATGGCTCTGAATTCACCCTGGAAAGAGAGTGACACCCTAGAACTGGCTGATCTTCTCCTCCTGTAGAATATAACTCAGACCTTGTCTTTGACATGTCTACAATCCCTTTGGCAGATTGTTATCCAGTCCCTAGTTAACAATGGAATTTGAATTCCTGCTGCAAATATTCATGTAATTTGATATAGAGCATCACGTAAGGAAAGCCAGACCAGCACCGCGGTGCACACAGTCCAATAGCACAGTTACACAGTGCTGCCTTACCACAGAAAGACTCATTCCTCCAAGGTGAGATGGTGACATTCGCTCGCTGGCAGGCAGCTGCGTATGTCTGAATGGACTCGCACAGGGCACTGCTCTCCCCTCCTGACACACACAGGTCAAAGATGCAATCAGACAGATAGTGGCCTGGGTCAATCTGGGAGTGGCAAGCGGAGAACGGCCCATCAGGGTCCTGGATCACCCAGCACCGGGACTTGGACTGCACCAGACTTTCCTCCTCTTCACACAAAGGGCAGGAATCAGGGCAGCCATTGTCACAGCCAGGGACATCCTCCGACTTCCCAGCCAAAGCCAAGTGGAAGGCGTCCTTCCCCTGGGAGACGTTCTGCATCACAAAATCATCCTCAGCCGCTCCATTGAGGTTCACGCACAGCCCACAGGTGTGGCCTCGGTACTCAGGGGGGAGGTTGACAAAGAGGCTGTGGGCCAGGTCGTAGCTCACACTCAGCCCAGAGTCGGCTTGCACAACGGTATGAAACCCATCCCGATAAACGACGATTCCTCTTCTCTGGAGACGCACCGGGAGAGTCAGAGTGACCCCATCAATCTGAGTGAGGGAAAATAGCACCAAAGAGATCAATGCAGGAATTTATGCAGTCATAGATAGGGACCATTCTGGTCATTTACTCTGAGGCCCTTGCATGACCCCGGCCAGAAAACTTCACTCAGGAATTCCTGCACTGGAGGGAAAAATTCTTCTCTACTACATGAATGAGACCTGCGAGCCCAATATCTTGTGGTTGAATTACAGCATGTCCTTTAGAAAGATACGACTCTCCATAGGAACACTCCAAGTGAGAATAAATCAACCACTTCTTTTGGGAAGTTGTTCCCATAGATAATTACTCTCACTGTGACAATGCTTCCTTTCCAAAATGTTTCCTCTCATCTGCAATTTGAATTATACTAACTTCAACTTTCAGCCCCTGAATCCTGTCATTCTTCTGTCTGCTGGAACATGATAACAGTTTTAAAGTACATAGAAGGTTGTTACAAGGAGAAAAATTGTTCTCCTTAACCACTGAGGAGAGGACAAGAAGCAATAGGTTTAAATTGCAGCAACTGGGTAGGGTTCCTAACTATCAGGGTGGTTAAGCACTGGAATAAGTTACCTAGTGAGGTTGTGGAATCACCATCCTTGGAGATTTTTAAGAGCAGGTTAGACAAACATCTGCCAGAGATGATCTAAATCAGGGGTGGGCAAACTACAGTCCGCAGGCTGAATCCGGTCCGCCAGCTGTTTTAATCTGGCCCTCGAGCTCCTGCTGGCAAGCAGGGTCTGGGGCTTGCCCCACTCCAGTGCTCCAGCCGGGGAGCAGGGTCGGGGGCCACTCCACGCAGCTGCCAGAAGCAGCGGCATTGCCCACCCCCCACCCCCAAGCTCCTACGCGTAAGGGTAGCCAGGGGACTCTGCTCTGCACACTGCCCCCACCCCAAGCACTACCCCTGCAGGTCCCATTGGCCGGGAACTGCACCCAATGGGAGCTGCAGGGGCGGTGCCTGTGGATGAGGCAGTGCACAGAGCCACCTGGCCACCCCTCCGCGTAGGAGCTGGAGGGGGGACATGCCGCTGCTTCCGGGAGCCACTTGAGTTAAGTGCCACCCGGAGCCTGCACCCCTGAACCTCTCCCCGTGCCCCAACCCCCTGCCCCAGCTCTGATCCCCCTCCTGCCCTCTGAACCACTCGATCCCAGCCCAGAGCACCCTCCTGTACCCCAAACCCCTCATCCCCACCCCAGAGCTCGCTCCCCCAGCTGGAGCTTACAGCCCTTCCTGCATCCCAACCCCCTGCCCCAGCCCTGATTCCCCCTCCCACCTTCTGAACCCCTCAGTCCCAGCCCGGAGCACCCTCTTACACCCCAAACTCCTTATCCCCAGGCCCACCCCAGATCCCACACCCCCAGCTGGAGCCCTCACCCCCCCCACACCCCACTCCCCTGCCCCAGCCTAGAGCCCCCTCCTGCACCCTGAACTCCTCATTTCTGGCTCCACCCCAGAGCCTGCACCCCCAACCAGAACCCTCACCCCCTCCCACACCTCAACCCCAATTTTGTGAGCATTCATAGCCGGCCATACAATTTCTATTTCCAGATGTGGCCCTCGGGTCAAAAACTTTGCCCACCCCTGGTCTAAATAATACTTAATCTTGCCATGAGTACAGGGGACTAGACTAGATGACCTCTCAAGATCCCTTCCAGTCCTGTGATTCTATGAGTGGTGTGCACATGAAGTCTGTGGTGTGCAAATGTGAACATGGGTGAGGAATTTAGGGAGAAACCTGACTATCATCTGGTTTGCAGCTAGACATTAAACCCATACTGTCCTCCTAATTGGGGATTTTAGTTATAAACTGCCTTTAAACTGGGCTAGTGTCAAGCAAAAATTGCAGTGCTGCAGTGACTGGTTTATTGGGGAAGGTTGAAAAAAAATCTGGGAAATGATTTTTTTTTCCAATTTAAGTTCTTTGAGTTAATACTTTCCCAGTGAATTACCTTGACTGTCCCGTGCTGCCCTCTCTGCAGGTGGATCTCAGTCCTGTTCACAAGGACAAACACCTCTGAGGTCACAGCCACAGGAACACGGGGCAGGTTTCCGTTCTTCACTTCCACTCTGAAGAAGGGTAAGGATTTGGATGCCCCACACAATTCAGCAAAGACATATCTGCAGGTGCTCTGGGAATTGTATCGCTTCCCATCAAACGTAGTGTAATGGGGCAGCCCAGAAGCCCAGCAGATGCCGTTGGTTCGTTCGTGGCATCCATAAACCCCCTTTCGAGTGCCACAGAATTCCCCTGGGGCACAGGCAGAGCGGGAGCACTGGACAGCGTGGGAGGAGCCATCACATCTGCACAATCTCTGGCAATTTTCTCCTTCCCAGAAGCTTTCCCCTGCCAGGTGGTATCTGCCATTGTGGGTGCAGCCGCACTGCTCCCGAGGCACACAGTCGGTGCCACTCAGCACAAAGCCAGGGTCACACTGGCACCCTTCTTCACACGCAGTCCGGCAGCGGGAGGGCACAGCTGGGTGGGCACAAGAGGCCGGGCAGGAAGGTCCACAGAGCTCATAGTGGCTGTTGGGGGGGGCAGGTTAGCTCTGAAAGGGACATGAAGAGCAGTGTTAAATACAGAAGGAATGCTCCAGGGAATCCTTCCAGGCAGTAAACCCAAGGGAAGGAATGAAAATGGGGATAATAAGACAGAGCATGAAAAACAGAGACTAGGATAAACAGTCGTGTGAAAAAAATAATTTCATATTGGTTGGAATTTTGAAATGTACCTGAGCAACTTAGAGCAGGAATCCCAAGTGGGATTTCTGCTCTGAAATCATATAGGCACTTGTCAAAATTCTACCCATTAGTAATAGCCGTTTTGCATCTAAGATAAACACTGTTCTCCTGCTTATTATTATTTTATTCATTTCAAACTGGATCTGACGTAAGAGCTCTGTTGAGAAAATAATGACTCCTGCGTTTTCTTTATCAGCATTGTAGTGCTGGCTCATATCTTGGTAAGGCACTTCAGGAGACCTGACATTTGAAAGCAGGACGAGTACAAGTCCACACTGTATCATAAAAGCTAATTTGTTCTGAATACAGAAAACTGGGAGAGGAGAAATAAATTATCTGTTTGTCTTCATCCTCTAAAGATGTTTATATTGATCTTTATGTAAGCAGAGTCAGGATGAGCTCTACCCTGACATCTGGTGGTGAATTATGGCGAGTGTGGAAAAGAACTCCAGGGGCTGATCTTGTTTGCATAGGCACACCCACTCGCCTGGCATGAAACAACAGCAACTCAAAGTGGTTACTTTGGCTGGGGTGGGGTCCCCAGTCTTCTCTGTTTTTTGGGCCGGGAGAATAAAAGTTTTTTACCCC